AACAAAATATCTATGTGTAAGGAACAACCCTCTAGACATACTATTACAATGGAGACCATGGTATTAAACAAGAAGAGAATCAGCAAGACTACACAGTCGGTAGCTGGAAAAATTAGATGAAGCAAGGCTGAAAAAGAAAACGATGATAGGATAGGAAAGTGGTCTCCCATTACTTCGGAAGTTTTCGTATGAATAATTCGTTGCCAAAATTTGAAATACACACAAGGTAATTTTGAAATTTAAAATTCGAAATCCCATAATGTTTCAATTAAAAATCCTTTTTGTATGTTAATGTTTGTAATCCTCTTTTCCATAGGAAAGCGCGCATAAAGACTAAAAGCACTACCGCCCGTTAGTTAATCCTCTATAGTCTGATAGAGATGTGCATAAAATTTACCTCAACTATGTCTAGACTAGACAAGCTTTTATTTTAGCCCAGACCAGGATATACATATTTTAGAGAGACATATTTTGCATTTTACTTTGTTGACGGGCATTATTAAAAGGATTGCGGCCGCGGCCGGCTTATAACTTAATGGATTCCGAGCCCGGGGCAAAGTCCATTAGGATTCATTCAAAAGTTGCTTTGCGGTTTTCCAAACATTTACAATAAAAATGTTAATTCCTTACCAACCTTTGCAGGGCCCCTTATAAGCTATGGGTATCGCTTTTCCCGCGTGGCAAGCGGAATTTCGTAAATGACACGCGCTTCTGTAAGTTAATCCGTCGGAACCGCAAACTTGTCGGTGTTTCGGTACTATCGGACATTTTTTCTTGATACAATGGACACAGTGAGGCGTTCCGTTTTGGTCTAGGAGACACGTTTTTCCGTCTGGACAACGGATTTTATCACAGGAACCTACAAGAGAATTTTTTTTAAAATTAGTTTAGATTAAATAGCCAAAAACAATGGAAACTTACTTTGGCATTCACCATAATAAGCTATCGATAAACTTCGTAATTTTTGCTTGCACGCTTTCTTCCGCATTCTGCACCAATTTTTATAAGTTCTTCCATCGGAACCGCACACAGGCCCTCTGGGCTTCTTTCTGCCGTCTTTGCAAATTGACGAACACACGCACCTTGGAATACCTTTTCTCAATACGCATGTCTTTTCCTGTTCACATTTAACGTTTGAGCAGGATTCTAAAAATAAACTAATGAAGTGTATTTTTTTGTCGGTTTTGGGTGTTAATACCTTTACATGAAGAGCAAAGTACACCTCCTCCTAGTGTCCTCCAAAAAAACAAGCTGCTAGGATCGAGGTCGTCAGGAGACCAAGCAGTAGATACAGAAGTACTATTGGAACAACAATCTTCTTTGGAAACTCTATCGTACAAAAATTCGGAGCAACGTCCGGTCTTGTGTTTGGCCATCGTTGACCAGCACGTACCAGCTAAAATAAAAAAAAGGTCACCTTTAAAAACAAATAAGTCATAAAAATACTGCAAGGGACACGATCGTAAAATATGCTAAAACGACTTTAATAGTTTTTTTAGCGGGAATTTTTGAGGCAGACTAATAAAAAATTTTAGCACGCGCACCCAGAGAGCTGAACGTCGGACGAGGAAGGGTACTCCGTGTACAAATTAAATATATTACCGAAAACGGCAACAGAAATTTCGGTTGTCTGATAATAATAATGCCATCGTGGGCTCGTGGGTTCTAAAAATAAACTCGACTGCTATTACCACTGGTGACTGGGATGCTATTTTTAGAATTCGAGGAGGTTCTTGAGTCACAATGGTTCTTCCATCAAATTAATAAATCAATGTTACGGAATCGATCGATACCTAGGTACCGCTTTTTTTGGTGTGAGGGTAGCAACTTCAGTTGTCTTTATAATATAGAAGTTCTTTTTAGAAACCAAAAGTCATCAGCCCCTTCATGCAACAATTTTATTGTCTTGCAAGTCGTATGGCAACGAATTAACTGATTCATGCGTGAAATAATCAATTAGATGAGCTTCATCCCTTGCTTCATTTTTTTGCTTTCTCAAGGTTGAAATAGGTACCTTCTAGGTTCTGGTTTATCGTATAGTTAATGACATCGGAAATGAAATTCAGTCGCGTAAAGAAATCAAGTAACATAAAAATTTAAATGTTAACATTAATATTTAATGAAGATTTTGCGTTGCGTGGGATAATATCCGGTGTACTTATATGGAACCCAGAACAATTTTAATTGAAAAATGTAGGTAGCATAATTAATCAAATTATTTTGCAGTACATTGTATGTATATCCTTGTCATTGTACTAATTATTGAAATAATAATTTCTATGAGATGCCAGCCGCTATATGGACAGGTTTTCGAGGAAGCCGTCAAAAACCCGATAAATAATGTATATTACATAATATAAGCGATTAAAGCATAATAAGAGTGGTATAGTAGAGGTATAGTAAACTTGAGCGACCTTGGCGCGCACCTGGGTTTCTTCATAATATATTATTTATTTGCCCACCTTTGCATCAATTGACAATGCAATTATTGCACACGTGGCTTTATTAGATTTTTTTTTCTTACTAGTAATTAACACACTAGTTGGGCTTAATAGAGAGGTTTTATGATATTATTATGCAAATCACTGCAGAAGTTGTAATTAGTTTAATCGATCACAGGTGGTAAATTTTGCCTTATTACATGCTTATTTGCATGAGAAAATACCTTGTGCAGCAAAGTTCAACTTTATTTTAGTTCATGCTTTTGTTTATATCTATTATCAATTGAAGACAAAGAAAGCTAGCAAAAATTAAGCATATACCTACTTATTAGCAAGCAAACCAATAATTTTTCTTTAGTTTTTCTACTGTCTTATTTTGAGCTTACATATTTTTACAATTTTCCATCTTTATCAGGCAGTTCCAAAGGTCGCCCATTAGATGAAAGAATAACTGAGGCTATGGAAAAGATTTTCTATTACATTGAAAATAACGAGGATTGCCAGTTTACGTTGGGTGAATTGAAAGAAATTGAACTGGATTATGTTCCGGACGATTCAACAATCATTAAAAAATTAACAGAAATATTGTCATAACAAGCAAATCAAGATCAATGACTATTATTTGAAAGTGAAGAGAAAGTTAAGGAAAATTGGAGGATTAAAAATTTTGGTCCTGGGCGGGATTCGAACCCGCGTCCTCAACTATGTCGGTGCTACGCTCTAACCAACTAAGCCACCACGAGCTTACAGATCTTTTTGATTGGCGTTGTTAGAGGAAGTTGCGTGCTTCTCCGCTCATTGCCAAACTTCTCAATCCTCCAATAAACCCACACATTGATGGCACGTAAAATATGCGAATAACATTTTTTGAAGAGAATTTTCCAATATTTTTAGCCAAAATAGTCGTAGGATATACCAAAAGCAAAATATTTAAGAAAAATTCATTTCTGTGCTATTTGTCCTTGAATATCTTGGAACGCGATTAGCAGGTGTGCTGGAGTCAGGAGGATTCAAGTTACTGGGGTCGTGGGAAAGAGGAAAGTGGTCTTGAGTTGAGGCAAGTCTCTATTTGATGTAGGACGGTACAAAACTCCTCATATGTCAGAGAAGCCTCGCCTATTACACGTTTCATATAAAATTTAACAGATTTGACGCCTGACTCTCAAATACCACCAAAGTGAGGGGCGCGTGGCGGAATAAAACTCCACTGAATACCATCATTCGATAGAGCAGCTCATTATTTGCACCTACAAAGGTAGTACCATTGTCGGAGTAAATTTGTGAACATTTTCCACGTCTAGACATGAAACGGCGCAAGGCTACTAAGAAGCATTCAGTTGTAAGGTCTCTTACCACTTCTAAATGAATTGCCTTACTGACCAAACAAATACAAAGTGAAATGCAAGCTTTAGTGTTTTTAAAGTTACGTCCCTTTCTGTCACGGAGTAACCGTGAACACCAGATACTGAGAAGGGTCTGGTTGGAGTGACGTGTTCACTGGAAAGATTACCCATTAGGTATTTTTCTGGTTTGTTTCGGATTCTGAAGCAACGCACACAATCGTGAACAATCCTTTTCACCAAATTACGACCGGAGATTGGCCAGTAACGTTCTCTCAAAGACGCAAGAAGAGCTTGTGGGCCTGCATGTAGAAGTCTCAGGTGTTAATTCTTAATAATTAAAGAAGTGAGATGATGTTGGGAAGGAAATACCTATAGTCGGATGTTTTTTAGTGTAATCGGAGTTGGAATTATACAATCTGCCACTGACTCGAATCAATTTTTCATTGTCTATGAATGGGTTTAGGGACACAAGTTTACTATTATAAAGGAACGGTTTGTTAGGACAGTGCGCGAAGCACAACTCACAACGAAAACGTTAGCAAAATCTGTTGAGCACCATGTTGCCACACTGCTGACGCTGTACGTCGCGCTCTGTGGTCGCGCTCACCTGCGCAAAGCCAACAAACCGGTCTATATAATTTACACTCGGTTGATTTTAGCAGACCTGCGTGACTTGTGACTTTCAAGAGAATGTGAGTTGTGCGTCGCACTTGAGGTAATCTTGAAAGAGCATCTGCATTTGCATGATCAGATGTAGATCTGTATATTATTTCAAAATCAAAACCTTGCAAAAATAATGCATAGTGAAGCATTCTGGTCGCCACCATCGAAAGCAACTTCTTTTCTGGGTGAAATATCGAAGTTAACGGTTTGTGGTCCAGTAATCAGTTTAAAATGTCTTCCGTATAGGTATTTGAAAAATTTATTTTTCTCCGAATGACAGTGAAAGCGGCCTTTTAATGACACTTGACAAGATCAAAAGTTGTATTTTTACTGCCTAGGCAGTAAAAGTGGACTTTTACTGCCTAGGCATTGAAAGTGACAGTGTCACAACGTTCCCAGGTAATAATTTCTCTCAATTTGGTATTTGAAATTGATGGTGACAATGACAATTGTCAAAATAATTTAATTATTTGGATAATAATAATGAATGAAATAAATATGAAAAAGATGTCCATGTGTGAATTTGAGCATTTGGAGGAAAAATTATATGTTTTACATGTAGTCCATTATCATAGGGTCCGCTCGCTTCGATCTCGTGCTAAGTTTAAAAATGCATTATTTTATGAAAATATGGGACTACTAGATTACCAAATGGTATGTTGGCATTTTTGTAAATTATTTTTTTCCGAAAAACCGCCACTTGAAGATCACGGATGGAGCAATTTTTTAAAAAAATCGTATCTCCGTTATTTATTGATCAATTTTTTATTTCAAAAAAAGAAATTACTTGGAAAAGTCTATATTTTAATTAAAAAAATGTTTCAACTATAAATATTTATTACTAGAAGAAAATTTTCCCAACAATTTAAAAAAAAAAACATATTTTTTTTTAATAATTTTTTTCACAAATTTTTTTTTTCTATAATTATAAATTATTCAGAAAAAAGTTTCAGATGAAAAATGCACAGAATTTTCTGCTGAATCCAACGGTGTATATTAACAAGTGTTCAAAAATGACATTTGGGAATTTATTCTTAATTACATATTTGCGATCAATACATAAAAAAATTATTACATATATAGAAAAAAAATAAAAATTGATTCTTTGATATATTTAATGAAACATAAATTTGAAAAAAATTATTTGGCTCAATAGTTATCCATGTCTTCATCATCTGAAAATAAATTTTTGTTTATTGAAGCCTGCGTTAAAACATCTATCTTCACCTGAGCAAGAGTAATCTTCATCCTCTTCTATAATTACTGGTGTCAATAAATCTCCGTTCGAACACGGAAATTCTGCTACTGAACATCCGCAAGCCTCAGTACAGACTATTTTATTTTTTTTACAGGAACATGTATTGGTTCCACATCCCTTTTTGCAGCCACATTTAATCAGCTTGATTATTGCCTTTGGTGCTGGTGGACTTAGCATAGGAACTGGTTCCAAATATTCATTATTTTGATGCCACCCAGAAAATCTCACTTCCGGAAGATTTTGTTTGGATTCAGATGCGCATCTCCAGACAGCAGCAATGTAATTTGCTCTAAAATTCAAAAGAATGAGCATAACAATTTGTCTTTGGTTTGTGTACGTTACCTTAGGATATGTTGGTTCAGTGCATCAACTGTTGGTGGTAGATTTTCGCCTTCTTGGTTTTTTGTTGAAAAAAGATACCAACGCAAGTCCGCGAGGTTTTTGATTACCTTATTTCTGTATAGTAAACACACAAATTCTTCTAGGCTTTCCATCATTTCTGTGCTATATGTATTCTTAGTTCCCAATAATGCAAGTGATCTTAGGATCGGAGATGATTTGTCCAATTCCAAGAACACTATAGAGCAAAATTCTTTACTGATTCTCGAAAATCTTCCTGTTATATCGGTTCCGGTAAACGCATGGAAACCAATTAATGCTGTTTTATGCTCAATACTTATGGTTTTAGCCACTTTAGCGATATCTATTTCCTTTTTTATTTTTCCCTTATTGGTTATCATTCGGAGTTTATCAGGCAAGTTCTCATAAAAACTAACAAGAAGGACGAAAACGTCTGTATCAGGACTATAAACAGTCATTTGTATCTCTTTTCCATATCGTTGAGTTACGCGAACTCCATGTAGTATTAAAATTGTGTCCGCTTCTTCGTGGTTATTGTCTTCCAAATTATCTAGAGGCATGTTTGAAATTGTGTTGTTGTTGTATGAGACAACAACGTGTTTAAAATTTCCACATCCTAGAACTTTTTTGGCAAGGTATTCAGTCAGTTCCATCTTGGTTTTTATGTTTGAGAGAAAATCCTTAAGTGTAATATTTTGTATTATTGATCCATCTGATACATGATAGCACGCGCCAGAATATTTTTTAGTCCTTTTGGTTCTAGTTATGTGTTTCAACGAGTTCTCTTTGTAGGTATCAAAAATTAAGTGTACTTCATCATGTGCTTTACTAAGTTCGGTAAGCATAGAGACAAAAACATTGGCAAAATCTTTACATGTCTTCATACTGGGAGATTTCGAAATACATTGAACCAAAGCCATCCCGTCTACTAGAATAACTGATCTGTTTTTAACTAATAAGTTATCTACTATATTGGCATCAATTTCGCTATTTTTCGAAATGTCTTCCAGTTTTTGCATCAGTTTAAATTTATCAGTTGGAAGAAGTAAACTGCCATCAGCAGCAAATAAGGACCGAGGAATCGAACCAAATTCATATTCTCCAACAGCTTTTTTCAGGTCAATATCTTGACGAGTCCTAGATACTAAAAGTAATCGCTGTAGTAGACTTCTTTCTTCTCTTATTTCTAAAATTTTTTCGTCCTGTTTCGTTTTAGACTTTGCATTTGAATTTTTAAATGTATTCAATTTCATACGCTGCATTGGATCCCAAATACCTTTTTTCCCTTCAGTTATTCTCTCATTTTCAAAAATCTTATATCTTTCTTTACCTAATTCATCTCTATTTAAAATATCATTTGCTATTTGTTTGTCTAAAATTTTACCAGTGAGAAGATTACATACCTCACCGTTTTCAGGCATCTCAGAGATATGGGTAGCGAATACTTCCTTCAATGCCAAATATTTGGTTTTAATTCTTTGTTCTGTAGGGCTATGAAATTCATGATGGATAGTGTTTTTAGTTTCTCTACCTGGAGATATGAGTTCTTGAAACTTGTCAGTTATTTGAGAGAGTTCCGAAGCAATCATAAAATATCTATTTAAAGCCGACATATTCTTCGTTATTCCTACAATTCCTCCAGAAACTTTTAATTTTCTATTTTCGTGTTCAATTGCATGGTCTGGTCCAATTGCTGTGAATGGTATATCTGATTTTGAAACTGAAAAATTTCCTGAAACAAATTCTTGCCATATTTCTGGATGGTGTTTTCTTACAAATGCCATAGAAGATAAATATAGTGGCAGAAGTCTTGCATAACTCAGATGATCATGTGCGAAAAAGTATTTTATAAGAGCGTCCGTGTTTTCAAGATGAAGATCGAATTGTTTTTCTCTCGTTGCTTTTATATAAGTTAAAATAGTTTCAAACTGCTTGATGTAATTGCAAATGAATTTAAAGGTTCCTTTACTGTTTGAGTATGTATTACTGAAATGTTGATCTAAATTTCCAAAGTTTTTCACTAAACCTCGAAATTGTTCCTTTAAAGTGGCGTCCATATTTTTGTTATTTATTTCCTTGTATATATTTAAAAGTTCTGTGGAACGCGAACGGTAGTAATCTATGATTTCGGGCTTGGATATAATTTTTTCAATGAAAAAGTCACATAATGCCAGTACGGTTGTCATGTGTGCTTCTAGGCTTCGATAGTATTGTTTGCCTTCCAGTATTCTACTCACAGTCGATGCACTATACATTCCTGCCTCTATCCAGGCTTGGTCGATACCACTTCCTTCTATGTACTTTCCTAAAGCTGCCAAAGCCCAAAACGTAACATGAAGTTCTCCAGGTCTAAAAATATACTGTTTCTGAATATTTTCATCTGCAACCCAAATTTTCATGGCTAAATCATAAAGCTGCATATCAAACGTGATTACAGTGACAGCATTATTTCCGTTAGCTAAGTAATTTACTGCTTGAGCTTCTTTAATTGCCTTATAGAGAATGTCATGTATTGTAGGTGGGAATGGAATTAAAGGTGCTAATAATGAAACGTTACATTTTTTGGAGGAAAATGACTTGAGAGAATTAAAGGATGACCATGTGCCCAGTGTAGTTTCTGGGGAACCCGATATTGAACTTATAATCCAGCATAAGTTATCATTAGAAAAGTTTATGTTAGACCCACAAATGATGGATTCCAGTTTCTTAGGTGCTGGATTTGGAAACCTAAAACTATTGTGATTGTGAAATAATTTTTCGGAGCTTTTAATATTACTAGTACTCCTATCTAAAACTAGTTTTGGTAGAACAAGATTTTTTTCTGTTGGAGTAGTTTCTTCTTGAATAATTGCTGTAACAGTGCCGTGCAACGTATCCATGCCACTAGGAGTTGCTTCTAAGAAATCTATGTTATCAATTGCAAACCATAAAAATTTGTTCTTACTGAGCCAATTTGGTGGGCATACGTCTATATTAATTTCTTGAAGCCTTGTATATAAAGAACTTTTGAGTGAATCTTCTATTCGCAAAACTTTCTGATAATCTATTGAAAGATTCAACTTGTGCAAAGTATCTATCATTTTTTTAGATCTAAAATTTTTATGCACATCCAACGCTAAACCCACACTTAATGGTGTTTCTATAGACCTCCTCCATTCAGAAGAAATATTTTTTCCTTGTTTATCACTGACAGATGCTTGAAGAATATGCTGACAAACCATAGATACAGATTTTTTTCCTTCTGGACTCTCGGTAATGCAATTATGCCCGAACAATACCAATTTTGTAAAATAAAATAAAACTGGCGGATCAGTATAATTGTCAAAACTCCCTTGAAAAATCCACTTTGTATTTGATTGTATTTCATCTCGAATCATTTTAGCAGCCTCACTTATTTTTTGTAACTTAAGTTGCTTTTTAGCTTCAAGTCCAATATTTACAGTTTCATTTAATGTACTGTTTAATAAAACTTGTTCTGGATCGGTTTTCTTTTTCGGTTTATAGAAAACTATTGTGGGTATATTATCGGACAAAAGGTTTTTTAAAAAGGGTTTGTAGTTTCTATCTGCTTGAGGTTCAATGCCTGAATTTGCCAAAAAACTAATATATTTTTTTTGAATGACATTCATGTCTAAAAAACGACTTGTCTCATTGTGGCCCAGAAGCGTATTTTTTACAAAACAAATTATTTCTGCGTTAACAATATCAGTGGCATTTATCGTAGTATCTCTCTGTGTCTGAGAGCATTCAGCAGTAACTGAAGCTCTTTCATGTTTTCGAAAACAGCTCAAATGATATTTCATATCATACACTACAGCGGCAAGTGGATCATCGTTTGTGGCAATTAATATTAATCTCTGTTTCAATGTAAGGTCTGAGGTGCAAATTCCTATTTGTTTTAATTTCGCTGACATATTTGTGGATGAAATATTATATAAGTTTTCATTTCTTACCTCCTGACAGAGAACACATTTTTCACTATCGAAAGTGCTTCTACTAGGCCTCATCATATGCGTGGTGGAATTTTTTGATGACACAACATTAACTTTTTTTTTCAGTCTTTCTAAGTTAGTTTTATTCGTAAGTTCTGAATAACATTTTCTATGATAAGTGGGTTTTTTGGCAAGCATATTTTCTGTTTCACATTCACTAAATAATTTTTGTAATTTTTGAAGAACAATATTTTTATCGCCATATTGCACTCTTTTTTCCACTGCTATTTTAATTTTAGACAATGAATCTTGTGTTGCTAATACGTCCTGACTTTTAATAACGCGCTTTTGACACACAAAACAAACACTAAAATCAAATGCCATTTTCCACGGATAATATCTAAATATATATAAATATGTATAGACTAAAAATGATTAAGGTAATCAACAAAGTCTTAACCTATTTGAATTTGGAAGCATTTATTATAGATATTATTTATATCGGTCAATGCGAAAAAGCTCGATTTCTATGGGCGCGCCGGGAACGACGCCGACGGCGCCACGTTTTCGTATTTGTTGAGCGTAGCAATGCCGCTCATCCTATTTTTTACACTTTCAGTAGTATAATTGTATCAACCTCTAATAAATTATATATAATTTGATTCAGCAGAAAATTCTGTGCATTTTTTATCTGAAACTTTTCTCTGGAAAATTCATAATTATAGAAATAAAAATGGTAAGAAAAAAATAATTAAAAAAAAAAATATGTTTTTTTTAAAATTTTTGGGGAAATTTCCTTTCAATATAGAATATTTGTAGTTGAAACATTTTTTTTATCAAAATATAGACTTTCCCAAATAATTTCTTTTTTTAAAATAAAAAATTGATCAATTAATAATGGAGATACGAATTTTTCAAAAATTGCTCCATCCGCGATCTTGACGTGGCTGTTTTTCGGAAAAAAATAATTTACAGAAATGCCAACATACCATTCGGTAATCTAGTAGTCCCATATTTTCATAAAATAATGCATTTTCAAACTTAGCACGAGATCGAAGCGAGCGGCCGTTTTTGAGCCCTATGATAATAGACTAATGGCAGAAAAGTAGATTTAATGCCGCGGCTCGTGTTTCATAGCCGAGGCATAGCCGAGGTACTTTTCTGCCTAGCAAAACAAATAACTATTAAACTCCAGTATATAGCTGTAGCTTCCTTGTCTATTTGACTGTAATTTTTCTCCGATTTACTTAGTGTTTTTGACGCAAATGCAATAGGTCTCTCTGAACCGTCATCCATTATGTGATAGAACGATACCCATTCCATAATTCTATACAAAATGACAACACTTCAAACTCTACCCTTTATATGGTAAAGGTGAAAGGTACAAAAATGCCGATGCTGAAGACATAACATCAATGATCACCTGACGTCATACCTGTTTTTGCCATATACTTCACCCTCAATGACTTCACCCTCAATGACTTCACCCCTCGCTCCTCATACGGAAAAGGTCAGATTAAAAACGACAGAGAATACTCGAGACGGTGAAAGGTGAGGCTACTGCCAAGGAAATGTTATTACAGTTAAGTGGAACCTATATGAATTCTGGCATAGTCATAACCAAGTAAGTTTACAAAGAACAAAGAACATTAAGATATAACAGAAAAAGTTCTTTTAACAATTTTCTTGTAGAGTATGAGCGAACAGTCTTAGTACTAAGTAATTATGGTGAATCAATCCAAGAATCAGGGATTATTAAACAGTTATTATCTGCAATGCTTGATACGTATCAAAATGTGACATGTAAACAATAGACATTTTGTATTGTCCAGAACCCAGTAAAGTGACTCTAGAATTCATTAAGAGACTCTTGATGGAAGATGAGAGACAAAATAAGTACCTATGAACCAAAATATCAAGGTGAAGGGTCAGGAGTGTTTCTAGGATATAAAGGAAACTTTGGGCCACATTTTAATCCAAGGGGATAAAATTGGAGACAAAAGGAAAATAAAAACAATTTTCCATTTAGATGCAATGGAGCACAAGAAGGTGGACTATCCAAAGTTAAAAAATAGTAGTTGGCAATCGGAAAATGTCATTTGGCGACGTGATGAAGTTCATGAAGTTGCATTTATTTCTGAATTTGAACCAGAGTTTCAGAGTCATGAACATTGGCTTGTTATGCAACAGGGAAAAGTGAAGTTAATTTTGTAGTTGACAGCGGTGCTATAAATCATCTTGTTAACTCAACTGTGGGAAAAAAAAATGACTAATGTAGAAGAAGTGAATTATCGAATGAGAATAGCAAAGGAGGATGAAGTTATTATAGCAAAAAGAAAAGTTAATTTGCATGTTGAGGCTAAAAATGGTAGAAAAATTGTTTTAGAGAATGTCCTCGAGTGTGAAAGTTTGACTCGTAACTTATTTTCTGTCAAAATTATAAAAGAAAAAGGTCTAAGGGTGCAGGTTGAAAATAAAAAGGTTTGCATACAAAATCAAAAGAAAGTACCTACTAGTTATTGGAGAATTAAATGGGAACTTATGCACTTTAGATTTATTTTTGAAAAACCCTGAAGAAAATGCCGCAACTGGTTGCTGAAATTGACAATAATTTATGGCATAAGCGAATGGGACATTCTGCTAAATATCCATATGAAGGAGTTTGTGAAATATATATATTTAAAAGGTAAGCAAACCAAGGATGTATGTGTAATAATGTAACTCTTACCAATCAACGCTCTTACTAACAAGAGAAAAGCGAAGCGAATTCCTAAAGTTGTATCTTCCGATGTGTGTGGAACAATAACACCCATTACCTACTTATGATGACAAGAGATATTTTGTAACCTTCATGGATCATTACAGTCATTTTCGAGTTTGTTATATAACAAGAGTGAAGTTTTTGAACATTTCAAGAAACGAATAAGATGTGACAATCGAGGAGAATACGTCTCAAGTGAATTTAAGGACTTTTGTTCAAAGAGAGGTTATAAAATAGAATAGACAGCAGTAGACACCACAACAAAATAATGTACCCGAAAGATTCAACAGAATTGTAATGGAACGTGCTTATATTCTAATCAAAAATAGACAAAAGGTTTTGGGATGAATCCTTGAGAACAGCTGTATATCTAATAAATAGAACTCCAACTACAGTGCTGAAAAATAAAGTTGTTCCAGCTGAAATTTGATATTGTTATAAGCCTAATTTGAATAAAATTAAAGTATTCGGATGTAGAGCGTATGTTTATGTACCAAACGTAGAAAGATCCAGTAAGTTAGATGAAAGATCAAAACTATTGTTTATGAGGGGATATATAGACAATGGATATCGGCTTTGGTACAAAGAAAAACAAAAAAATGTGGTTGCCAAAAATGTAAAATTTAACGAGAATAAAAAGGATATCATAGATGAAAACATTGAAAGACAGAATAAAGAATTCCAAGAACTGACAGATTTAGAAATCAATAATGATAAGGAAATGCAAAGTACAAGAAAAGAGAACTGCCAAGTACAAGATAAAGAGAAAAATGAATCAGAAAATCAAACTGAAATTGACAATAAGGTAACACGAAGACGATCAATACGAGAAAGAAAAACTCCTAAGCACTTGGAAGAATATGAGATTGAACTGATGGCAGCATTATCAGTAGGCATATCCTTAGACGTTCCTGAAAATTATGATAAAGCTATGGAAGAAAGAGAAGGTTGACAGGAAGCCATACAAGACGAATTGGACTCACTTGTACAGAATGAAACATGGGAAAGTATTCCAAAACCAAATAATGTTGAAATTATAGATTCGGAATGGATTTTCATAGAATGTAGGTAGGTATACCTATTTAAGATACGGTACCTACTTTGAAGTATCTAAGATACTTTGTTCTCACTGCTCTGTATAATACAAAAAAGAAATAACTAAATCGCACCACGTGCAAGTAAGACCAACCATCAAAAATATAAAGCGAATCATAATTTTCATATAAGCGCATTTATCGTGACATATTTTTGATGCGTCCGAACGATATAACCGAAATGGACAATTTAGCGAAGGAGTGGCAACAATAAAATTTGAATTTATACGCTCATTTATAAACATATCGTGTGTTTTCTCATGTCGAAAATGCAACAAAGTAAATTTTATGTGGGAAAAATTCCGCTAAAAATGGGTATCCAGAGTTGTTGAGACCCACGACATTTCGTACGAAATCGGTTAAGTAATAAAATCTCTTATTAGAAATTTCAGAGAACCACAATAATTATGATGATGATGGCTCGTGGAGCTATTATTATGCCAATGCCAATGAAAAAGTAATTTTTTCTCCAAACGTCCCTTTGTCAACACCTGTCAAGATGGTAGAAATTCAATTTCTATGCTGCTAGGCAAATCCAGGAGGTTAACACCTGTCGAGGTGGTAGAAATTTAATTTCTATGCTGCTTGGCAACCCCAGCGGCAGCAAAAGTACTTTTAGTGCCGCTCGTACTTTTACTGCCGCTCAACCATTCAGTTACCCCAGAGCTTACCACATTCGTTTGGAGAAAAAATAGCGTGTTGCATACGGAATAGAAGCACTTTTTTGTGCTTCAGCAGTATTGCAAGCCTCACTACGTTCGGCTCGCAAACCTACTGCTTCAGCACAAAAAAGTAAAGCTTCTACTCCTAATACAACAAATCAAAAGTGATTTTTGAATTTTAATTTTCCTTTATCTAAATGGCTCTTGACTGTAATTTATTTACGCAGTTGATGGTGTTTTTTTTTTTTATGTGGCCATAACAGGTAGGTATCACAACCCACTAATAGTAAAATAGAGTGTCTAGACAGGCCAAGATTCTTGGACGATGATTATATAAAATTTGTTTATTTTGGCCAAGGTATTCGCGCCGTATCAATAATTCTTTTTTTAAAATATGATTGATGATTTGGCAATTTATTTGTGTAGGTAGGTACGTACTTTGTCAAGGAATGGAATTTTCTGAATAACAGTTCCTGCATCTCTATATTAAATCGAGAGAGGAATTTTTACTAAAAAATAATTGTGGATGCAAAAGTTTTAATATTTTACATAATTTTATTTATTCGTTTAGCCTCGTAGATTTTTTCAACAACGCTGTGTCGGCCCTTGAGAAATTGGACCTGCATTAAAATTCAGAAACACATGAGCCCATATACAGAGTTGCTGGGTTTTATTGTACGAAATTGGAAGTATCGCACTTTGGTATAGGTACCCGTATTTGTACATAATTACAATTTCAGTATAGCAGCTCAGGAATATATTGTCGTAAATTTCTCTGTATACAATTATTATTGCTATCAGTCTATACATCTTATATGAAAAAACAATAAGGAAAATTCTAGGTAAAGTCTATAAACTGTAGTGTACGCTGTAGTATACGCTTATAGAGTATTCAAGTATTTATGATTTCAAAGAACAAGGGAAATGCAACCAACCTTACCTCATCAGCAAAAATAGGTTCTTTTATATTCTATTATTCTCTTTCAGCAAATTGTTTCAATCTAGATTTAAGCTGGAATCTTCATTAAATGTTCATTCAAAATTTACTGCTTACTTTCATTGTTAAATTTAATGTACGTGTACGTGAAATTTTATGGGAAACTTACTAAGACACAGCTATAAACCGTCAAAACAAGCTTTTGCTATAAGAAGCAATAAACGATCCAATTAACATATAACTTCCTTATAAATACACGTTGAGATTAACGTGTTTAGACACAGATTATTAAGTTGTTTATCGCATCCCATAAATAAGTTCTTTTTGTGAAAGAAAATTATGTTCCCACCATTTACATTTCTAAATGGATCATAACTTTGTGGCACGTCGAATAGCACCTATAAATAGTTCTAGTGGTATGTGGTATACTATTTAAAGCAATAGGAGATGAACTGTTAGATCATTCTGGGTTGTACTAATTGCTAATAATTTCATTAATTGCAATATGTTTCGACTAGTGAAGTATCTCCGATCTTCTACTTCAGTTTTAGGCTGACAGCGACCGGATGGTAGTGCCGTAATTGTCTCGACCATAGAGATCCCGACACAACGTCATCAAGTCAAACTCAATATTTGCCCGACCATAGATATTCCGACAAATTTGTTGGACCCGCAATATTCAAAACCTAACCTTGCTTTTTTGAGTGTTATTGGAACACCTTTCGCGGCCGTCCCAAAAAACTTGAACGAGCAGAATCAAAAAAGTTACCATTGGACTCATAAGGAAATCAAAGACAATTTTACATGGTATTTTTTTAGGAGTTCTCAAACTTTTATTGGAGAAATAGTCCTCACAGGTTGACATAGGTACCTACTTACTATATATAGAATTATTTTAAATAGTCCACCCAGTAGGAAGATACTACTTATACAATCAAATCAAAATAATGTCTGAACAAAAACAAGAAAAAGAAAATCTTGTTTTTTAGTTGCTTGCTGGCTGCGGCTGATAATGATGATGATGATTGTCTGTTATGGTTGCACATTTTTATTTTCTTCGAACAATTTACAAACGATGTCTGGACGTTCTCAGCAGTAGCAACTGAAAACTATAAAATATCCCACCTGCCCCGTTCTTGTGATGCTAATGTCCGGTCGATATTTCTTGTTTTTTTTCCCCGTTTTTTTTTTTTTTTTTTTCTCGGCGGTTAATACGTTTTAATGTGAGAGATTCAGACTGTAGTTATGAGTTTTTGCACTTAAACGCCAGATAAAGTCTAGACATTGGACATACATTACGGTTATTGGCTTTCGGATTGATTATTGCACGGCTCGTGTTGTAGTTTATGCAGGTGCCAGGTTGACACTATTTTTACCAGAAAAAAAATGTGCAGAACCAGATTTCAATCTAGTCCGATTAAATCAGATCAAAAAAATCTATAAATACCTATATATTTGTACACAGGGGTAAACTTTATTTCACACTACTTTGCCATAACAAATAAATCGTTTTGTTTCCTGTTCCTCAACTAAAGAAATGTCACCCATTGGTTGATTTATCGTTATATTCATTAAACCTTCATGTTCGCTATCGCAATAATTACATTAGTAGTTAGTGGAGGAAAAAATTCAGGAGAATGGTAGAAAGGAGCCGAGAAATAAAAGGTAGTAAATCAAGGTTTTTGAAGTTTTTCTTTTATGTTTCCGTTTAATTTGTATTTGTGTTCTATAATAATGATAACAGTTGTAACTTCAAGCGCGTTTACACATTACACAGGTTATTATGCTGTATTGACCATCATTATAAAGACAATAAACTTTCCAAAAAAGCATGAAGAAACTATAGGGAAGCTCAAAAATATCATTACATATAGAGGCGCGACTAGTCCGAAGGTGAATCACTATCCAAGAGGCAAAAGAAAAATCAAATTTGGGGATACAAATGTCAGAATATTATTTCATTTCTTGGTGGATAAAAGCAGAATACCTGGCAGTTGGAAAGTTATAGTATATAAGGCTGGAAAAGAAATATAATACATATAGTTGCACTAATCTCTGTCCAGCGGCGGGGTAAATAGTTTTCCAAGAAATTATCGAAGAATAGGAATAAATTCCAGAAATAAGGGAAACATTGGCAATAATAACACCTTGCGGTATTCTTCTCTTTTTTCCTATTCGTCTTATTTATCTCACCTTTCCTTTTCCATTATTCAAAGATTGCTTTGCTTGTTGGTGTGTGTGGAACTCGATGCAATAGAATGGTTCTGATTGGGATAGGTGTGATGAATGTATATCTAACAAAACATGGCGCAGTCGATAATCTACGCTTAAGCTTTGTTAAACTCGGTTCTTGATAATATCAGCAAAACGCCTCAGAAAAAGAGAAAATAATTCTGATGGGAAACGAAGAAGACGTTTTGAACCATAGATTGAAATCTATTAAAACTTCACTTTCCCTTACTAATAATGCAGTTAAAGCCATAGCCAAGGATACTCAACAATCAATTTATGATTTAGAAACGTTTTCATCTAAAATAGTTGATTTCAGAAACCAAATATTAAAAGTACTGGGTAAGAATACAGGACCTGGATGTTCAATTTCTGAGACTTCATTTCAAGAGCGGCAAGACACTGTAACTAGTAGAGCAACTCAGAGTATTCATTTATTAGTTACAGTCCCAATTCTAGAAGATTTGGTAGACAATATGCTTCACTGTTTGCCCATGATATTTCTCACGTTGTTAGATTGGTTTAAAAAATCGATCTTGTGGATATAAGTAAATGCAGATAATGTACTTGATAAAATCAATGCACAATAAAAAAAAAAGAAAATGGTCGCATAAGAAAAATTCAATTATGCATGGAACGCAGGCAAGAGCCGTTTATACCATTTTACAGAGCAAAGATCAAGTTTTTCCAATTAACCCAACCTTATCTGATCATATCATAGAATATCTTAATCGATCCTAAGTTGGGAAAAAAATGCCACACAACAACTGTGGAAGAAATCATAAGATTACCTATGTGAATTGAAAGAGGTTGTTAATTTAGAAAAAAAATCAATATAATTCCAAGGTATATGAAATAAATTTAAATAACAAGGCAAATGTTAATAGAAAATATCAAAAATGCAATAGAAAAGTCTGAGAAACTTCTGCAAAAAACGTAGTTTGCAGTAATTTTCCATTCAGAGTTTTGCTGTACAAAAAAAATGTTCTTACACAAGCTGCCCAAACAACTCAACCTGAACAACCATGAATTAGCACCCATACATTGTCCGTCATTTAGGCACGTAGAGAGCTTAAGATCATTTTAGGTCTGGATTTTCTGCAATTCAGTCTTTGTTCCCAGTCTCGTTTGGAGGGTTTTGTGGTGTAGCAAATATCTCCAGAGTAGGCAGGTTTTGTAAAGGGACGCGAACAGATCTTGAACTTGAGGCAAATTATTGATAAAGTTAGAGAGAGAGCATTACTTTCCAGTCTATATCTGCTTTGTGGACTAATAATCTAAGGCATTTGACAATGTAAAGTGGCCTAAACTATGAGAAATTCTTCTCTCCATTGAAGTTCCTTTTCACCTGATATTTCTCATACACAACAGCTCTATGAGTCCAACACAGCTCGAGTTAAGAACTGACGGTAACATGTCTGATCAGACTTCAACAAGAAAAGGAATTCTTCAGGGATGTGTGTTATCGCCGATGTTGTTTAACATCCCAATACGTATTATTTTTGTTCGTAAATGAAAAATTCAGGAAAACTACATTGAAATAATGCATTAATAGTTATTTATGCCCGGGGGACACCAATTGCCCGTGGGTATTAACACCTGATAATTCCCGTGGTACATTTACTGTATTTTGTCCATTTTTATGAAGAAATAAACCATAAACCAAAATTTCTATTTTTTGTCAAAGCTTTGCCTATTCAAGGTAGAATTTCTCTCAATCCTGAAAATCCTATATGCCCATATTTTCTGTGCCATTTTACATAATCGTTTTCGCTACCTACTTTCAACATTCATGGTTTCAGCTTTCACCAAAGAAAACTCAATTTCATACAAATTCTCTCGTTTGCTTATTCCTACTACTTGTCCACAGTGGCGGTCCATACATGATTTTCTGGGGGGGAGGGTAATGTATGACGGGAAAATCATCAAGTGCCGCAATGTACCGCTGGAGGCGAAATTTTTTTTGGGATGCCACGCCCAAATTTGCAACCGAAAGTCGTTTAAAAAACACGCTTCGGGCAAAAATTTATCCCACTTAGTGCGATATCCGACGATATCTTCTTACAGGGTGATGCAAGAAAAAAAAAATTACAAAGTTGTTTGATTCTCCAACGTGCATTAGTTAAAAATATTTTTAAATATACAGGGTGCTCCGTAAATGGGGTATGTGAAAGAACTTTGTTATTTTTAAATGGAACACCCTATATTTAGTACTTTAATGCAACGTTATAGAAATTCTACATATTTTTTCAAAAAATCGCAGTTTGCATGTGTCAACAAAAACCAACATCATTCATTGGAGATTCTATATAAGCTAAAGCTTTTGCAGGTTGTTAGTACATACCTACTTACATTTACTTCATGGTCCTATAAAAATCTGACAGCAATCTACAGGGTGTTCGCAATACTCTACACAAAACGAGACATTGCAAACAACCATAGCTATTTTTTTTTTCAAATGGAATAGCCTCTATCTCACTGTATAGTAGTAGATATATACGTCGGTACTGTGGGTTAGCCACATCATATTTATACGATACCTTTAATGCTTTCCTTTGTAGAACTTGTCTTTCGTTGAAATTTTGTTGTAATTATCAAATGTATAGAAAAAATCTTTGTCTGGGGGGGGGGGGGTAATTACCCCCTCTACCCCCACCTTTAAATCGCCCTTGCTTGTCCATCCTTACCTACTATCTTCGCTGTGGAATTTTCAAATATTATTTTTATATGACATCTTGAGTTTCTTAACACTTAATAAATTTCTTCTCAAATTAGGTACATATAAAACGTTCTTAATTGTACAGTCAATTTTTTTAGATCCTACATTAGTTACTGCTTTGATGTTTCCAACTCCCATGCCCAATAAAAAACATTGTCTCTAGCAACGGCAACTGAAATTGGATCTTTTAACATAATTAAACTCGAAATTTTGACCATGTGATCGGTACACCTAGAATCAATAAAAAACTGTATTCCTTTCACATGCCCTATTTTTTCTCCTATTTCTTTTTCTTCAAGAAAACAAACGGTCCTGTCCACTGGATCTGACTGTGAACCTTGGAGTAAAGTTACATCTTCTGTCAAGTTACTTTCACTATTTTGAAATCCACCTTAATTGGACCTGTTGCTGTAACTCCCTCTTGTAGAACCTATCGTATTGAAACTTCCTCTTGCAATAAATCCTCCTCTTACGTTGTAATCTGCTCTTGCATTGTAACCTCCTCTTCCATGGTAACCTGTATTTTGAGAACCTCTTCGTATAAAACCTCTACTGTGATCATTGCTTCTTGGTGTATTGTAGGTACTGCCTAATCTACTGTAATTACCGTAATTACTATTTTGCCAATTATTTTGTGAACAAAAATGCCTTATGTGATTGGTTGAGCCACATCCATACATTTATTGTCACTATATTTCTGTGTCGCAAAGCTGTTGGCAATCCACACTGCTATTTTACATTCCTATGAAATAACGTCCGCTTTTCACTTTCTGCCAAAAGTCCCAAAAGTTTATTCATTGCATTTTCATACAGTTATATTTTCAACAATCGCACATACAGTCTCATAAGACTTTGGTAATGTTAATAACAAATTACATACTTTGTCCTCATCCTTTACTTCGCAACCGGATGCAATCATTTGCCTAACAATATCTTCAAATTCCAAAATATGCTTCTCAAGTGACTCGCCCTCTTTTAATTTCAGTTATAATAACTTCCGTTTCAAAGACATTTGTCCTGGAAGCCCTTTCTTCTCATATCAATCTTTCAAAGCCGTCCACATCTGGCATGCATTATTTTTATCTCGAATTATATCCAGTTGAGCATCATCCAAACTTTAGAGCAGGTAAAGCGCTGTCCTACGGACATAAGGAGTAGGGACGCGCCATTCTGCTATGAAACTAAAGGTACGGTTTGTTAGGATAGTACGCGACGCACAACTGACAACGTAAACGTTGTCATTGGTCCAGGTATGGCGTACACCCGTTACCTGACGTCAACGTCAGAAAACGAGTGTACGTCATACCTGAACCAATGACGACGTTTACGTTTTACCTTCAAGGTACGGTTTGTTAGGTTCGTACGCGACGCACAACTGACAGCGTAAACGTCGTCATTGGTTCAGGTATGACGTACACCCGTTTTCTGACACTGACGCTGACGTCAGATAACGGGTGTACGTCATACCTGAACCAATGACGACGTTTACGTTGTCAGTTGTGCGTCGCGCACAGAACATATCACCTATAGAAAAATATCTCAAATGGGAAAATCGCGACGAAGGTTTTTAGTTAGGTTTTTAGTCAACGATGGCGACACTGTCGGGAGATAAGAGAAATTTACAGGTATCTGTGGTGTGGACAGTGATTTGTGTTGGTTGGTTTTGTCATTTATTTTGTCATTTTAAAAATCAAAATTTGAATTTTTAAATTGTGTTGTTGTAAACCATGGTCCCCACGCGCGTTAAAGTGAAAATTCAAAAAGTTTTGGTTGAAAAAAACCCTAATTTTTGTTCGTATTTTTTTGTATTTACTCGTTTGTTTCGTTTCGTTCGTATTTGTATTTATTATTCGTATTTATTTTGCGATATGCCTATAGCTGCGTGTCTCTTGCTAACTTACTAACTCGTTTTGCACTATGTTCGACATTGGAAACTTCCTGCCAGTCATAGTTTTCAAAAAAAATTAGGCAAGCCAAATGCAGTTGAACATTAAAAAGTATTTAAAAATAATAAAAATATATGAAAAAAATCAATTCGCCTTTTTGTCAAGAATGCTCGATTAGTTGGGTTTTCAGTCAACGATGGCAGGCGCGGATCCAGACCCAAATTAAGGGGGGGGGCCATACAAAATATTGGAAGGTACAGGGTGTCTGGTTATAATTTGACACCCCACATTATTGTTAGAAATTTGAAATTTTGCGTAGGTACTCTCAACTTTTTTCAAATAGAATGCCCTATATTTGATTCTATATTCTTGAAGAGCACAATTTTCCGATTTCAAAAATATATAGTTTCTCTATATTTAGTTGAGCCATCTCCTCCATATTTGGCTTCAAAAATTTTAAAAATACTATCAGAGAAACCAAGTGTATCAAATTTTACCTGAAGCTTTCATCAGAATGATTCACAAAATCGTCAGTGGGATAGTATTTTTCCAATTTTTAGAGCCAAATATGTTGAAGGCGGCTCAAACAAATATAGACGAACTATATATTAGAAGCAAATATAGGGCATTTCATTTAAAAAAGTTGAAAGTACGCAAAATTTCAAATTTCTTACAATAAACTTTTGTTTTTGACGATGGATTCTGAAAATTTAGTTAAAACTGCACAACTTTTGTGTTCACACCTATCATCTACCTGAAAAGGTAAAGCTAGAGTCAAATTTGTGATAGGGCATGACAAATTTGACATAGGGCATACACTACTTGCCCCCCTCCCTTAAATTATAGGTAAAAAATCTGGTGGTAATGGCGCCGAAGGAAAATTTATCAATAAATAACATCTCTGGCAAGTAAACAAAATGGCGCCGCCTTGGATCATTCGCAC